ATTATTGTCTTAATTGGTGGTATAAATCCTGAGGCACTGGAGGGGAAGAGAGGGAAAGAAAAAACGATGAGCAGTTAGCAACATACAGCCTTTTGGATAAGTGCTAGCCAGTTGTACAACCATCCTGGTGACATTTTATGGTTTTATTGGGTTGTAGGTTTGATCCTTCACAAATTAGGTTAAAGGGAATTGATATACATAAACAAAAATATAAAACAACAGCAAAATGCAATAATTCATTCTTGAGTTCTCCATTAAACTGTGTGAAATAACTCAGAAAAGCGCTTCTTTGATCTCCTGTTATTTGTATTAAATTATATTCATTACTCTTCCCATCTGGAGTTTCATAGCAGGCCAAAAATCATCCTACAGACATGACTGAAAGGAAGTTAACTGTAACTTTTTAATTATATACATTCCATCTCCTCTTTTTTCTTAATTTGAGAAAAGCAGATGGAAGCGCATACCAGCGCCTTCCTCTCCGTTTAAACCACTGAAGTGGAGAAGCAGAAAATCTCAGCCGTTCTTTTGCCTCACATATTGTTTCAAGGTGATGACTGTTCTGTCTGGAGACTTTGACATGTTTGCTAAAAAGGTCAGGAGTTCAGTGAAAATCGAAATTGTGGAGAAATACGTGCATAGTCCTAGGGATGCCTTGGTACCCTTGCTGGAAGAATCTGGTCGTTGCAGATTTGCAGCTGATGGAACACATCTCCCCTATTCTGTTGGTAGCTGACTCTCTGCCAGCTGGACAGCAGAAGTGTTTCAAACTCCCCAGAAACAAAAAAAAAAGTAGTCAATGTTTTGATGGTTTGTAGAATGTTTTTTTACATTAAACCAATGTTTGTGGAATCAGAAGGTGTTTTGGCAAGGGGCACAATAAAAAATGGTGTTTTTTTCCAGCCTCACCAGGGGTTAATTTAGGCTAATTGGCATTACTAGCCCCATGAAGAAATTTTTCAAGCTCTGTTATCAGATTTATTTTCTCTTTTTCCCCTGTGAAGCCCATAAGACCTTTTTCACCTTAGAAACTATTAGGATTTATCAAACATGGCCTGCTCTGTCTTTGCTGTGAATTTTTTTGTAGTTGCAGATGAGTATCCCCACTGAGGTAGCTCAGAGAGGAGTAAAATGTTCCTCATCTGCTCATCCATGTCCTTTGGGCCCTTTTCTCTTTTCAAGAAGTGACAAAACCCTGAGATATTTCAAACTTTTCCATTTGTGTAACAACAATGAAAAGATAATAGACCTTTTTTCCCCATAGGGGGTTGCTCTTAAATCCACAGGTCTAGATTCCCATATGCAAGTTGTGGGATGACAACTGCTTATTTTCACAGCGTTTTGAGTTCTGCCAATAAAAAAGAAAGAAAATCACTGCCACACTGGTTTCAAGAGCAAATTTAGGTTTCTTTGACCATAGAATCTTAGGCCTGCTCTTCATCTGCAGAATAAATGGCTAGACAAGCAGAAGTGTGCATGGCAAGCTGGAAATACCAGCAATGACAGACAAAGCCAGAGCCCTTCCCAGAGCGGGCTGGTGCTGAACTCCACCACCACTGGCTGGCTGGCATTTCTAGGTGCTTTCTACCAGCCATTGACATTTGTTTTTGCAAAGATCTTCCTGTCCTGCCCTGATGTACATCATCATCACAATTTCCCTGCTTTCTGGCAACAAGCCTTCCTTTACTTATTGTTGTAGCTGCATCCATTTTGTGCCAGCGGTGGTTTCCAGTCATAATGTCAGATGATTAAATTGTTTATTCTGCAAGCTGTGACTTCCAAAGTGTGATAGACAGTGCAGGCATCCTGGAAAAGTGCTGTGCAACTGGAAATTATCTCATTTGAGCTTCCTTTTAGATAGCTGTTTTGGTAGCTTTGATTACTGGTGGGGTCTCCTGCTCTGGCTGCAGCCACTTTGCAATGTGTTTTGTCTGTATGCTATCACCAAACAGCACAAGCTGGGTTGTACGTCTTTTGTAAGTCTTTCTACACAACTTCAGTTGCAGGCTTGCATGTTACCAAGGCCTCACAGAGTAAATTTTCCTGGTTAACAACTAAAAATTGCATGTCTTTGCCCTAGCTTGCCTGTTGAGCCTACCAGGATTTGGTGAGGCAGGGTTTTTTTGTTCCCTGACTGCTGCCAGTAGTTATTAAAAATTCTGCGAACTACATTTAATTCATGCAGGTTCCTGGGCAATTCCCTTGTCAAAGAACAAAGCAGTTTTGTGCAGATCCCATCACTGAGAGATACCTTAAATGTCTGATACCTAAAATGCTCCAGAGAGAGCAGGAATGGGAGCTTTACCTTCTCTAAATACATTCCACAGGGTTAGCAAGGATAGAGGGTAACTTAAATGATTAAAATAGAGTGACTGAAAAGAAGCCATGCATCACAAACATTTCTTTTGTAAAACATACACATATCTGCCCAGCCCCAGTTTCAGAATAAAGCTAAGGGCAGAGGTTTCAGGTGTGTGGTAGGCTGGATTTTCTTTTCAGTTGTTTCTGGTACTTATCTTTCCTCTCAGAGCTCAGTCAGAGTTTATAAATGACTGACAAACTGTACCATGGAAAAGTCCTTCCTACTCCTTTGTTTCTTTTACGATAAAGTAGCAATATGCTTCACTCAGAAGCTTATTTTGCAAATTTACAGAAGAATAGCTTCTAAATCTGCAGGAGTCATAGCTGGCTGCCTGTATTTGGGGGTAATCAAAGCTGAACCAGATGAACCGAGCAGGCTGTTCAAACAGATTGAGCTTGCAATAGCCCTTCGCTGCTGATTACCCTGTCCCTGGCTTGCAGTGCAAGTTTTAGGCTAGTAAGCCCCCTGTGCCTGCAAATAAGACTTGGCATGCTCTGTGCTGGCAAAATATTTTTAAGACGTTGTGATCAAATGATCCATCTCTTCATGCATGTGCATAAGTTGAGCTCTAAATCATCTGCCTTGCCAAAATCAACTGGACAGTGGAGGAGAGGGAGTTGTATAGATTCCCTGTCAAAAATGTAAGGGTAGCAGTTCACACTAACAAATTGGTAAGACTTCATAAGTTTAAACACTTAACCTTATCTTGAGGGCTCATCCTTAATGAGGTCCTTTGTATTCACATAACCAGTGGCATAAGGGCATTCAAAATATTACTGGAATAGTTAATATTCTATGTGGGCACTCTGTTCTGTACTGAGCTCTCAAAGTTTGACTCGTTCACAGGCAACTGCTGCAAAAGCAAGGGCTGAACGGGATGAGGTGGTTTCTTTGGCATTGTGCTGAGGTTGGATTGACTAAAAAGATTATTTACTTCTATGCAATAGACCTAGGAAGCCAGGTTTGTTTGCTGTTTGATACATACGGTTTCACATATCACTCTCTGCTTTCAGTGTGGCAGATAAGATATCAACACAATTAAAAGTGAAAAATAATCTGTCTGCTCTGCCACTGGTGGATGCTCAGGGAACACACGCTGATACAATAGATTTCTGAATAATTTATACTCAGCATTTTTTCCTTGCACTCGGTAAATGAGGATGCCTAATGTGGCATGGTCAGAGTGATACTCTATCTGTCATCCATTAAGATAACAAGATTGGTGGGCCTGGGAGGAGTGTGGCATGATACACAGAAAAGATGAGATTAAAAATTGAAATGTTTGTCCGAAATGTTCTGTGTAAAGGATGCTGATAAAAGCAGTTCAGAAAAACAGAATTTATTCAAAAGTGTGATTTCCACAAAGCTTTGTCTTCTCTAAAATAAATACACAAGATCCATGTTCCTTTCAAAAGTTATGGATAAAAGGAATATCGGAGTAAATCACTGTTCCTGATAGGCCTTCAGTAGCTTCCTCTACTTTAAATTCAAGTACTTTGTAGGTGCTATCAAAAACAATTATGTATGACAGTAATGCTTTATGTCTCACAGAATGGGATTTTCTTTTATATTCATAAGGCTTTTTAAATTACAAAGAAAGAATCATTTGTGATTGTTTTTGGCACTGGAGTGTCTCATCTCCCATCACAAGGTGTTAATTTGGACGAGGTACTAAACTATTTGCATAAAAAATGGCTCATGTAAATATTCAGCCAAACAGATTAATTTCAAGGTGACTGTACTATAGGAGGTAGTATATTGTTTTCCAAGAGCCAATAGGCACTAGAAGTTGATTAGTTTATAAGCAGTGGTGGTTTTCAGTCTCTGAAGTTTCTGACAACTTCTTAACATCAGGTCACATTTGGATTTTCTTGGTTTTTGAAGAAACTATTCGGGTTGTGAGGATCAGATGGGAGTCATTTGACGGAAAACACTTGGAGGAAAACTTAGGCTTGCTTCTAACTTTGGTATTTTTAGTGAAAAGGCCACTGTTATTATACCTATGCTATTTGGAGTCCAGCCTTGAAAGGGTTTAAATGTGCTTTTCTGTTTAACTGGGCAGCAAGCATCTGCTCTGCCATCTCCATGTCCTGCACAGTTTTCTTTCACTGCAGAGCTGCAGTCAGGGTCCAAACCCCCTGCAGAGGGAAACACGGGACACTTGGGGTTTTTTTCAGCCTAGATTCAGGAAATATCTCTGAGCATGACCCTGCTTGCAGTGCCACACATAACTTGTGGCTGTGCAGCACCAGGCTTCTGGAGGCAGGTGGGGAAACAGAGCCACCACTGCCCAGCAAATGATGCTCCTCACCCGCCAGTGCCTGAACTCCGGTCCCTCCCCCTAGGATGGCTTGGTTTGGGATTTGTATGCAAAGATAATTATAATCTTAGTGCCTGTCCAGAGGAATATTTAAAAACCTAATCTTTTTGATGATGTATTGCTGAACTTTTAAAATGAGTTTGTCACAAATCTTACAAGGAATGGTATCCCAATGCTAATTTGGGGAATACTTGTGAGTGAGTACTAATACATTGTAGAGAACCATGTCCTTAGCTTTGACCAGGACCTCATTACAACTTTTTTCATCTGAATATTTTGTATAAACAAGTTCATTTTTATTTATGTTCCATGAGTAAATCCAGGAAGAAAATAAAATACAGGTGTTAGAAAGTAATTTGTTTAACAGCAGTCAAAGCTTCCACAATTAGTATCCTCTATGTCTTTCACTCTGTGAACGACATTGCCTGGGGAGGTTAGGCTGATGAGGAAACTGTCTTCATTTTGACCTGGAGATCTGCTTTTTCCAAATTTGTTCTTCTTAAGCCTTTTTTATTAGTAATGAGTTCATGAATGCTTTATACTTGCTGTCTGCAGATGGATCACATTTTTCAGTTGCGCTGTGTGGTCAGCTTTGACTGGTAAGGACTGAGGCAGCCTCCTCTGCTTTCCTTCCTGGTAATTAAATACAATTAAATATAATTAAATAATTATATTTTATTGTTTATTATTATTCTATTGTTTAATTTTTAATTAAATAATTAAACCCTAGCTTATAAGGATGCACACCCTGCAGTTATATATCAGAACAACCGATCAGTAGGTGCCATTAGCTACTGGTTATATTTTGGTAAAGTACAGATGTATTTGGAGAAGACTGTTTCTTCTTTTCCCAGTATTGGGTGACTTGTTCATTTGGGCCATTTTGTTTCTTGCCCTGTCAGGCTTGTGGTAGGAGAGTAATGCCATTGGTGGCTGTGGGTGTTAAATCACTTGCAGCAGCACTGGATTAGGCTGGTGTGGCTGCCATAAAAGTTACCAGTTTTGGCTTGTCCTGCATCCTTCCAGCTAGAAAGTGGTGAGCAAATAAGCTATAGAGAGACCCTTGAAACAACACAGCTCACATTTTCTGCCTGTTGAATTAAAATAAAATAGACGCCATAGGTGTCTCACTGTTGTTAGCCACATAAGCAATTACCCCAGAGCCAGGCATCACAGGGGAATATCAAAGCAAGAAAGGAGTGAATATTGCCATAAATTTTCTCTTTTGGCAAGTAAACAAGTGTATGTACACTTGCCATACTTGCTATTGCAACAATTCAAGCAGTGCTAATGATCAGAAGTGTAGAATATAAAATAGCAGTGTTTATTGATAACTTGAAAGTTTTAATTATCCAAACAAATAGCTTTAAATTATTCTTCTATGAAGAAGACATTATTCTATGTCCAGTAGCTTAAGAAAAAGATGTGCAGAGTTTTTATTTACCTGTTTGATGAGAGTATTTATATATCTCCTAAAGCAGAGGAGCTAACCTCAGGATGAGGCTTGCCTGTGCAAGAGTTGCAGAAAACTCTTGCCAGGGGTTACGTGATTAAGGAGGCATTTTTCAGTTCTGAGTGAATCTGAGGTATTTTCATAACATTAGCATCTATAGCACATTGGTTGTGCAAGGAATTTATGACCAGCCCTTACTGCTTGCCCTACCACTCCCTGCTCATACAGCCAGAAAGTCTCTCAGTCAGCTCTGAACGAAGGGAGTTCTGTCTTTTGAACTGCTCACGTATCTCGGTGAGCACTTCGAGGAGAGCCAATTTCATAGCTTACCATGATTGCATCTTTAGACAAATGCATTGTGGGCACAGAGCTATCGTCTGTGGCATCAGGTTTACAGCTTCCCTGTAGGGTGTAAACATGCGGCTGGTTGAAGAGTTTTAACCTCTCAAGCCCTCCAACAAATATTAAATTGTTAACTATTCTTCCATAATGCTGTGATGTTGACTGAAATTTGACCCTGGTGCTTGCTGAAACGATTTTCAAAATCTGAGTGAGAAGGTTAAATAGTGCTGTCAAATTTCCAAATGTCTGTTGCAGAAATACTTTCACTGAATATCTCTGGGTTGAGCTCTAAAATGCTTAAAGTAATCCTCTTTTTTTTCTTCATTATTACATGATATTATCTAAAGCTTGGGTTTTATTGCAGATAAAGAAATGAACTTGGGTTTTGCCTTTTTTCTGTGCCACCTAACCTTACCATTTATGGCTATTTTTCTCTTTTTTACTTGTTGAAGGAGGAGTTCAGTTAAATGGTGTTCCTTAAGTACAAACCAGACCTCTAGGTTTCTTAATTTCTGTTTAAGATCATTGTAATTACTTGATTATTTTCACAGCTGTATCTGAGTAAGAAAAAAAAGTGCTGTAATTGGCAACTTTTACAAGTTTACAACTCAATAACCTGATACTGGAACTCTTCCACCTGCAGAAGCCTCATTAATTGCCATAGGAGTTTTCAGCAGTTAAGAGACCTGGGTTTCAAATTATTTCTCTTTTGAGGTGCAGCCTTCGAACTAGAGAATCTCTGCAGTAACGAAAATAGATGGGACCTTCAGGCTGAGAGAGTCTGCTTGTTATTGGATGAGTGTATGACTTCCAAGTGGATCTGTTAGGAAGGCTGTTGTTTACCCAACTCATTAGTAACATTCATAAGCTCAAACCATTTTTAGTTGAGCTTTTTTGTAAAATCTAGGGCTTCATTTCCTGAATGCTCTTACTAGTTCTAGCTTTGTTTATTTTGGCCTTAGGTTGCATTAGATAATTAGTTTTTATTTAAGAGATGAGTCTTATGTTGCAACAAACAGTACTAAATTATAGTAAGACTGAGGCTTACTTACCAGCCATAACTTTGAATTTATTTTGTTATTTTAAAGCAACATTTGTGCCTGTCTCTAAGGTTTATGGAAAGCTCAGAAGCTTACTTGATTTCTTTTTTTTCTTGATTCTAGGGCTTTTTCCGCAGGAGTATCCAGAAGAACATGGTTTACACATGTCACAGAGATAAAAACTGTGTTATCAATAAAGTTACCAGAAATCGCTGCCAGTACTGCAGACTACAGAAGTGCTTTGAAGTGGGAATGTCCAAAGAATGTAAGTTGTCTCAGAAACAATTTATTGTTTGTCATATCCTACATATATGTGGCAGTCTTAAGGGAAAAAAAAATATGATGCAATGATGTGATTGAAGCCAGTATCTGCGTTCATATGGAGGGAAAGGAGTATGAATTTGGTGCACAACTTCAGATCTGTATTTACAGACTTCTGAGTCCTTAACTCTGCAGCCTAAAAGCTGTGTGTTCTTACTGACTGGACCCTCTCTGAAAGGTGAAACAAGCTGGCAAATGCTCTTCTCTAAACCTGCAAAGCCAGTAAACCTGACTATGCGAAGCACACCAAAACCCCAAAGGATTTTCCTCTCCCTTCTTTTCTAGAAATCTCTGTTCTGCCCTTTAAATTAACATTTTGAAATATTTATGTAGAAATATGTGATATTCTCTTTTTCAGTTTATTGATGTCCCCATCAAGACTGAAAATATAGCTAAAAAAGCTTTTCGCAGATTCCATGGGGTAATGCTTCTGAAACTTGCTCATTTTTGATTGGATTGATTGCAGTAGCAGAAAAGTCTCTGATGTATTGATCTGTTAGATTGTTGAGAGTTTTTACCTTTATCAGCGATGTTCCTGGTGTCAGTAGGTCAATTCCAGTAATAACCACTACAGAAATTTGCAGTGTGTGCATAAGAGAGGAGGGAAAATTGCCCAACACCAGTTCTTAACTTTTATTCACCCACAGGAGTTTCTTGGAGTGAGAAATTTTCTTTTCACAAGAAAAGAAAGATTGAAAATGATGAGGCATTTATGTCTGAACTGTGATTTAGACAGGTTCTCATCTTCAGCATTTTGCATCCCTGAATTGTGTGGAACATCCCAGTAGTTACCTTCTCTATACTTGGTCAGGAACTAGAGGTCTTAAAGTTACATTTGTCCCTCCTCACTGTATCCCATTTCTCTCTCCCACCCTTCACTTTCCTCTCAGAGAAAGGGTGTAGAGAAGTGGAGAAAGAACCAGATACATCCTTAGGACCACTGTGCTGTGTTTCCAGCTCCTTTTCATGGAAATGTGAAGTCGTGGTTATTGGAAAGTTTCAAACTACTGAGGGGAGAAGGTCTTAAGATTTCCATTATTTTACTTTTCATGTTGGGTTTTCTAGATTTCTTGTGTGCCTGAAGTGCACTTATCTATACTTAGGTATAGATCTGCTGGATGGAAACCATGATGGGAGTAAAGGAGAAGGTAGGCTAAATGCCAAGATATAAAATTGAATAAGGGGATTTTATTGATAGCTATTTCACTGCATGTGTACCTGTGTACATGATGCCTTTTATTTCTTTGATAAAAACAGTATGATGCAGTTTGGAAGAGAAGAAAAAAGCACTTTTCTCACCTGAGGGCTTGCTGGTCTTGAGTTCCTAAGGACTTTATTGCTGACGCGAAGTAGTAATCTTATTAAATGCTGTAACGTCACATCGGAGTAGGTTTTGGAGGTATCAGCAGTATTTTTAACATGTTAACCAAAGTTACTTTGGATAAACTATAAAAGATTTACTGCCTTTTAGGTGATGGATTGTTTTCTCCCATAGGGTAGCTGGAGCTTTGCCAGCAGGAGTTAAGGTTTTGCTCTGCTCGTTTCCTGGGGTGAACCAAGTGAAATTGCCCTTTGGCAGTTGCCTTTATCTCAAAATTCTACAGGCACCGAAGGGGGGATGACAGGTAGGAGGGGGAACAGAGGATCCTGGAGAGAAGTGAGGGATGTCCTCTGGCTGCATTTCTGTAGAAGGCATTTGCAAGGGAACAGAGAAATTATTTTAAATGTCATCAGTTTGAATGCAGTGTGTCTTGTCTTCTGGGTTTAAGAACTAAGTCTGAAGTGATTCTGTGTTATCCCTTCATAAACAGGAGCTTTTCATCTCTTAAGAGATTTGCGGAACTATTTTCTTATCTGACCTTCTTTCATACATATCTCTAGGTTTCAACTCCATTTCTTTAGAAGTTTATGTAAACAAAGGCACATCTGTCATTCAGCTTTTTCTTACCAGATAGAGATTTTTCTTTTTCCCCTAGTGTATTATTCACATTTTATTTCTTTGTCTTCTTACAGTTCTGTTATCTTGTAATGTGAAAGCCACGAACAAAGGACAGAAAAAAAGTATCAGAGAAATCTCACAGGGAAACAAGCCTACAATGCTCAAACCAGTCCCAAATGGGGAAAGTAATCATGATGGCACCTGCAAATAGGAACCCCAAGGTCTGTTTCCAGGCACTAAGGAGGAGCAGATACTGGGTTTCTGTATACAGAGTAATCTGTGCTTAAAAGCTACAGTCCTATGTTTATTTATTCTGTCTTTAAAGGGTATGCAAAAGTACCTGCATATGCAGCTCCCTTTGAGCTTAATGAGTGTTCCTCACAAACATCAGAGGAGAGATGGGAACTGGGTGCATAGCCAGTGTGATAAGTAAGGGTTTAAGAATGGGGGTACAGTGTTTGAAAGAGAAGAGATACTGAGCATTTCTTTTATGCTTTTATCTTGTTTCAGAGAATGAAGTGAGATGATGAAGGAATGCACCAATTTGCATTTCTTTATAGGTTGTTTTGTTAGTGTAGAGGAAAAAAAAGCTATCTTCGACCCCATTTTACTCCCCAGATCTGATCAAGAGAGGTCAATAACTACACTACCTCCAGGGCAGGAGTGGAGCTATTTGCCTTGTGATAATATCTGCAAGACCTGCTGGAACTGGATCCCACTAGTGGGGCTTTCTTTCATTAGGGACGTCTTTCATTGTATAGTCCCTGTTGCAAAAAGTTTGTGCTCCAGATAGGCAGGACAAAGTGTTAGGGGAAACAAAGTAGTGATGACTGCCTTATCATCCTACAACAGGACAAAACACAGCTTGAAATAAAATCCTGCTGTCTTTAATCAGATACCCTTCCTTCAGAAACTCCAGAGCTTTGTCCCCGAAACCTGAGCTGCAGCTCCCGGTTCAGGGCCTGGAGCCAGTCCCTCCACCAGCACCGCCTCAGGTTTGGGGATGGATATATGGCTGTCCCACCTCAGCTCATGGGGGAGTGTAGGTGCAGCTGAGGCTCTTGAGTTGGACCCAACTCCAAACAACTTCTGTCCTTCATAGCCTTCCAGTCTGTTTTTTTTAATTACCACGTAGAAACAGACGGTGATCACACAGGGTGCTTTTTTTGCTGCTGCTGAAGTGAGAAGGCTACTAAGGCTGACAGTGGCTCATTATGTGATGGAGAGCCTTAGGAAACTAACCTTTGCCCTTCTATTACGTGGTCTCTACGCCACTGTTGAAGCGCCATCCTCGGCGTGACCCCAGGTGCCAGCAAGCAGCTCGCTGTTGCCTGGACGCGGGCCCTTGGTGCTCAGGAGCTCCAGGGTCACACGTACAGCACTGCCTGCTGCCATTAAGAGAGCACACAGGAAGCTGGGCAGAACTCTTGCACAGGAACGGACTCTTTCAAGCAGGATGCTGTAACAGTCACTTTGTAAGGTGAAGCCTGCTCATAGAGAGAACCTGAGGGGGTAGAAAATGGAGCTCCCTTCTGCCACAACTGCCCAGCTTAGCCCAGCAGCTTTTCAACTTTCATCCTTTTTCATAAACTGTGCAGGCTGCAGGGACTGCCACTGTACTTGATGATCTTTGGGGTCTCCTCAGACACAACCCAGCCCATGTACCAGGGTGTGGTGCAGAAAAGCCATCTTTATACTGGCATAGACCTCGTCTGCAGTGAGCTCTAGTAGAGCAAAATTATGTTTATAAAGCCGCAGAATTGTTCCAGATTACTTCAGTGCACTGAAGCAATGTTCAGATTTGCAAATCTGCTTACAATTAACCTCTCTGGAGGGAGGGAGGGAGGGAGGGAGGGAATGCAGGGAAATTATCATGAAGAGGAGAGAATCTGATTTCTGTGCTCTGTATTTGTTGGGGTTTTTTTTAACTTGCCCAGGAATGTCTGTTACTCTTTGTCACAGACTTGAGTCTTATAATATTTAAATGTTCATGCTTCTTGGAACATATGACTACATTCTGCTACCAAACAATGAAATGAATGGATTTGCTTATTTTCGTTCTGGTAGAAATTGGCAAGCAGGAAACATCAGCTTGAGGATCTGTCATGTTTGTATTTTTTATTTCTCTTTAATTTTTTTCAGACTCCTTAATGAAGCATGATTCCATCTTCAGTGAGTGGCTAAGTAGAGGGCTAGCCTGCATAGTTGCATTTGAGAAGTTCATGCAGATTTCACTGATGTCATTTTAAAGTGAATTAATTAGAATGCATGCAATCTTTATTTAGATGTTAGTCAGAACTGAACTGGGATTATTTTATTCTTTTTAGCCAGCAGGAAACACTGGATTTAGGAATTGTTTCTGCTTTGCTACAGGCTAGATTTTTAACTGGATGCCTAAATACCACACAGTGGCTGGGGGCTTTTTCAAAAATTCCAGAGTAGTTGCCTTGCCTGTTAACTTGCTTTCTCGAGAGGCAGGAGCTAAATATCAGAGTGGAAATCACAAACCCCTGAGTTCTGTTCTGGGACTAATTCCTGTCTGACTATTCTGTCTTTCCTATCTTGCAAGGTGAAAATTATGTCTTTTCACAGGGGCTGGGAGACCTTGTATTGCAAGTGCTTTGAAAGTAGAAAGATGTAAACTGTGAAAATACCAATTAAATTAAGAACTGTAGAATATAGATAGTGGGAAGCTATGCCCAAACCATAGATATCACATATTTTTCATTTTGTTTTTTAAGGATGGATTGTTTTGGAGATTTTTTTCAGTTGCTGATCGGATAGGAAAGCTTGTCTTTTTTCTTTTTTTTTTTCAGGCTGACAAATTGGGAACTTTTAAAAGGTAATGCCAAACTCTCAATATCACTGATGGGGAGATATTTTTTAAGATGAGAGTGAAGCTAATGGGGAAGGCTCTTCCTGCAACAAAAACCACAGTGCTCTAGTGTCAGCCTGTACTCTGCCAGGGATAATGCACACTTTGTTATGCTGGGTGGCTGAAAATTATCTACATACAATTAAAATTCTCTTGTGGAGAACTGGGTTCTACTTGTTGTACATTGTTTCCCATGGTTAAACAAACATCTCTTGCTTTTCACATCTTTTTTTTTCTCTTCAAAGAAGCCGATCTGCTTTTCCTTTCTCCTTTTGGGGTCTGCCTCTTCTGTGTTTTAGCCTTTACCCCTGATTTTGCATAGCTTACACTTGCCAGCTTTAATGTTTAAAGGAGCAACTTAGATTGAATGTTATTATCCATAATTTACTCTATGTTCTGTGAAGATGGTTATGTAATAGCAGTAATTGCATCAACTCACCTAATGAGCTTTCCCTCCAGTGCCATGTACAGCAGATTAATAGCCCATGAATTCATTTGCAGCTCGTTGTGTTTCAGAAAAGTATTTCAGGCAGCAATTAATAAACTGCTAAAGAAAATAACATAAAAAATGATTTTTTTTATTATGTTAACTCTCCAGCTGAACAATTTATTGGCACCTTTCATGATGTGGCTAAGTAAATTCTCTCCTAATTCCTCAAGCAGAGTGTGATTAGTGAACCCTGCTCAACTCAACACTGTCTGGTAATTAGTCTGATCTTTATATCCTAAAATGCTAGGGAGAAGTAAGAATAGAGTCTTAATGTTCTCTTTTTCTTCTGTTCCTTGCCTTTCAGGCATTATGCAAAATAGCTGTAACTTTAAACTGCAGCACTCTAGTGCTGCAAATTTTTTTTTCCCCCTTCCTTGAATAGAAACCCCATAATTGTGTAAGCTAAGAATTGAAGACTTCGGCCAATAAACAACCCCTGGCACTGTTTCTGCGCTGCTTGTTGTGGGCTGCAGTGTCCCATACCTCCCAAGTGGTGGGACAGAGCCTGAAGCAGGGACCCGAGAAAGTCACGGGGTGCTGCTGCCCTGAGGAAGGTAAACCAAGGGTCAAATGCCACTGGAGAGGAAGATGCCAGGAGAGAGGAATGGAGAGGGAAGAGAGAACAGGGAAAGTCCTGAGTTTTGCAGTGTAAAAGGGGATGAGGTGATTGAAGCCAACAGGAGAAGAGCAGCAGTGAGATGCCAGGGCTGCAACCACCTTTTCAGGAAAAGTGTCTGAGGAAAGGGGGAAAAACTGCTGCATGTGGCCAACTTTGCCAGGCTGCTCTAGAATTACTATTTCCATCCTTTTTCTTTTGGTTGGTGCTAGTGTTTAGGGCTTTTTAAAATATCAAGTTTTTCATGTTTTACATAATTCCTTTTTCAAATGAAACAGTTACTTTCCTGTGAGTACCATCCCTACTCTCCCAATCCAAAAGAAGCTTTTGGCTTCTCTTCAAAAGTAGTAAAATATATATTTTAAAATATTTTCCCTCATTTTGGGCTCTTGAGGACTGGGTAAGTATAAAGGGAATTCCTTCAATAAGCTCATACAGAGATTGATTACATGTCCTCAGCTGGAAGTTACATTAAGACTTATTCACTAAGGTATAGCTACCGTGGTGAACTTTTCAACGCTCTCTGCTGTCTCTATGACAACACAGATCCTGGCAGAAGTTACCAGGGCTCATGTGCTCTCTGCAGCCTTTGTCTGCATCCATCAATCCTAGTCCTCGATGACTGAAGATATTATCCAGTCTTATCCTGTGGAAGAGTGGCGCACAGTCCTTGTATAAGTACAACTTTTCTTTCATAACAGGTGAAACTTAAGATAACTAGAGCCAGGGAAAAGTGTAATGAACACAGTCTAATTTCTGCTTAGACCTGCAGCACACTCCAGAGAAGTGCTTGCTACTGTTCAGTGCTCTGGCAAAGCCCTCAGACCTTGCTGAACCCATCCTTATTTTAAAGAAGCCCATGGTATGTCTGTTGGTGCTTGTGGCTCAGGTTTCTGTGGCAGCCCTGCCATGTGCCACCTCTGGAGACTGGGCTCTTCCTTGAGAACAGCTGGCATTGACACAGGTCTAAGTTTTCATATTTTTAATTTTACACCTTTGGGGTGTTTTAGGAATCATCAGATGCTTTCTTCATTTCTTCATTCTTCAGTTTCCCAATAAAAGGCATTTTGGGCAGGTATCTCTTAAAAAATCACTTCTCAACATAGATCTTGTTCTTTTCCTGGCCTTTTTCTTTTATTTCCCATGCCCCACTTTGGTTTATAGCATTATTCCAAGTTGCACATGTAAAGACACTGGCTCTATGCATCTGTGTTGTCTCTTCTTCAGTTTAGTATCCCAGCTGCTTTCATGGCAAGGAAAAACCTGGATTATCCTTTCTGCCTTGTCCTGTGCCGGGTAATGCTGCTGTAAGAGCAGATGGGAAATCTGGAGGTAACCAGTCCCTACCCAGTCCTTGCACTCCTAAGAATGATGCTGAGACCACATTTGCTTCGTCATGCGGACATAACTGCTGAGACCCCAATCCCATGACCTCAAAAGCTTTGTTTCAGAGCTTCCATTCTTCCTTTATGCACTCAGTTCACTGCTTCGTATTCCTCATTCGGATCATTTTGTTGTTTGGGGACGCGGGGCGTCTTTGCATCTCTCTTTCTAATTGCCATTGTGTCATGTAGCTTGTGCTTTCTATACTGCCCCTTGTAGTGTCTCTGGTATCTTTTTTCTCCCTTTGAATGCTCTTTTTTCTTTCTCTTTTTTTCTTTTTTCTTTTTCTATTTTTTTTTCTTTTTTATTTTGGGATTTGAATCCAAAGGATGGAGAAATGTCAATGAGATAAATATCAGTCTGGGAACGAGCAAATTGCCAGTGTTCTGGGCCTTGAAGCTAAACATGGCTTATTTGGTTGTCAGGCCAACCTGAAAATGTTATCTACAGTAGCCAAGGTTCATGAGAAATGCAGTAAATTGTTCCCAAGAGTTCTGGGAAGTCTGAACTGCAGCAACCCGAATGTTCCTGAAGGACTCTCTATCAAAGGAGAGGCTTATTTGGTCCTTCCCCACTGAAGAAATAAATGTGAGAATGTGTTTGTCTTCCTGTTGGTTTATATCTGCAAACTTTTGTTTTCCTGGTGATCACTTTGCTGGAGATGTTCTTGCATGGGGTAGGTGCCTCTGCAAAAGGCAAAGAAGCAAAGCTCTCGCTGGCCTCTCTGCGGAGAGCAGCTCCCATGCTGATGGTGCGGAAGATGGAAAGCAGGCACTAGGAAAACAGTAAGCGCTCCAAGACGCTTTAGGAAGATCTCTCCATAAGTAGATGAGGCCATGGATTTCCCTCTGCTGCTGTCAGGCTCTCACGGCTTGCTTTCATCCACTGGATGAATTGTTAGAGCAGAGGGAGTTTTCCATTGCCGTGCCTGCGATAAGCCGGCTGACACGTTGCAGCTCCTCCTGCTGGGATGCTGGCCCTAGGACTGTGCTCTAAAAATAGCCTTGATTTGTTTTTAGTTTGACTTTGTATCACATGCTCATTTTAAAATACATCAGAACAGTTAATTTCCAGTTCTTCAGCGCTCATGTGGAAAGTGTAAAGGGTTTTTTAAAGTAGATGGTGTACAAGGAGTAGAAATAACACCCTTTCTATCCAAACCTAAATAACACTCAGCTGCCAATTCTATAAAAGGAAAAAGAAAGATCATAAGGCGTTAGAATTTTTAATGTCCTCTAGCCCAAAATGAACAGAAATGGTTTTGCCTTATCTTATTTTACTCCAGTACTTGTTCGCATGCTTGCCTGTTTCTGAAAGCTCTTAAATGTTTAAATCTAGGTCTCATAAAAAGTCTGTCAATCAGACAACAGCTCTGAAACCTGACTTCTACAAGTTGTATCTTAAAGCCCTACAGGCAGTGCCTGTGGCTGATAGGCATTTAATGAGCTGTGGAATCATTTTTCAGTGCCATGCATCCATAACCAGTTGCTTGTTGTTGATATAAACAGATTTGGTAAGTAAATGTGAGGAAATTGTCTGACTTTGGAGACATTTACCTGAATTTCAGAGTTAAAGCTAAGTGGAATTCTTCCTTTCCCCTGGCAAAAAGTGCAACAGAAAGCAAACATGCTTTTAGTTGGATTACAGGCATGGTTAGTCATCTGACAGACAGTTTTAATGGAGTCAGAAAGACATGCTGGGGAAACATGCTGACCTACTTTTCTTTCTTTCTTTTTTTCAAACTTTGAAGCAAGTGAAGTATTAATTTTAAAACACTCAATAAAGTTAGACTCTGGTGAAGGAGCTCATTTTGTAATTTAATTTATTTACACTTCTGTTTAGGGTATGATAGATTGTTTTGGTAACTGAATTTCATCAGGTTGTTTTTGTTTCTGTTAGGAAATTGGGTTACATCTGAGAAACCCATGTTCTTCCCCCTTTGCAGGACAAAGCAATCAGCTTCAAGTTAATGAATGATTTAAGTCCAGTCCTCTGAGGGAGGACTTTACAAACCATTGAAAATAACAGACTAACAAAGCGTATTACATTTGTATCATTTTCAATGCATTGTATTTTTAAACATTTGCTGTCTTTAAACTTGGGGAAAGAGGGATTACTGGCAGATAGTGTTATGCATTTTGCGCTTCAGCTTTTTTTTCCCCTACATTAAGGAGGTTGATGCCCTACCTTCAGTATTTTCTTGGAGGCAGAACTTGATGTATTTGAACCTGGGAAACTCTGTACCATAAAACTTGAGAGCTTGGGGGGAAAAAAGCCTTAAATATGAAAACTTAGCAGTGAGGAAGGATTAAAACATCACAAAGATACTAAATTGAATGATACTGGGTGAAAAAGGAAAGTGTTTCAGAAATGCTGTAGACCACTTCACTCCTTCAGCAGTGAGCACATACACAATTTGTCAGATGGCTGAGGTGTGCCAGGTCCCTGGTAAAGAGCTGTGCTCTATGCGCTTTACATGTGATGAAGACATCTCTGAGTGGTTGAAAGAGCAGGAGAGGACATCATTCCTTGATGTACTGGTCAATCCAGGGACACTGTTTCCACCTGCTCTGTCTCCTCCTGTTTCCATCATTAACAGGTTTTCTGCTGTCACTCTGCCCTGGTGCAATGGGTGCTGCTTCAAATCCTTTGCTTCCTCCCATCTCTCCTTGTTTTTAACTCCCAACTACCTGATTAAAGTTTGCATCATGGAAATAGTGATACAGTGTAAGAGAGGCAGAAAAAAATGGAAATTGCCAGGAAGCCATGAAGTTTATGGGGAGTTTTACATTTCAAAGAATACACAAGTTACATATACTCTTACGGAGTAATTTTATATATTGTGTACTTATAGGGAATGTTCCAGTGTCAGAGATTGAGATCTACTTTTTATAGTTTGAAAAATTAAGATGTTGGCTACTACATGAGAGTTTTCCCTATATATGTTCAGCTTCTCTGCACCATAGCTGTGAGTCATGCAAGGACTATCTTTCTCATGTTTTTCTTGCCATAGCACTTCTTCTAGGTGACCTGTGACATGACATGTTTTGATTCTAGTGGAGACACAACTAGGAAAAGACATGCAAAAAGGCGTCACATCTGGAATTATATCAAGGAGCTTTTTCTTCTGATACAGGAGAGTTGTTGTTGCCAGAAGATGTAGCGTTAGGTTTAGGGGAGCTTGAGTTGCTCTCTGGCAGTACCAGTCTGCCTCTTTTGGATAGGGAGCTTTCGTGTTTCCAATTAGGAGTCTTGTGAAGACCAATGAAGTCCAGAGCTCAGTGTGTGTTTGGTCTTGTAGTCCACATTGTACTGTGCTGCACCATCTGGTTATTCCATTGAGTAGCTCCAGGATCAAATCCACATGATCCAGATCCTTGGAACAAGTGACTGTTAGTTCATAAGAGCTTTTTGACAGTGCTTTTTTACATGAAAGATATTTAATTTGCCCTTTCAGTAATTTGGAAGATAAGATCCATGCATACTTTCCTCCCTGCCCCTTCTTTGGATGCCTCTTCAGGTGAACACTGCTATTAAATCAGAATATGCAGAAAATAATTTTAAATGGAAAAGGAATGATAATAATAAAAAAGACAATAAATAAGAGGACAGTTGTTACTAAGAAAAATAAGCTCTATTATGTTCAAACCTCTCTCATAACACAGGGAAAAGTAAACAGAGCCAAAGGAGAATAAGCATAAATATTTTATTCCTTTAATTCTGAAGAAGGCTCAAATCCTGTTTGTCCTCAAAAGAGAGTCAAAGCCATTTCTTGGCAACTTTTCCTGTTGTTTTGTAAGTCAGTTACAACTATTTCACATGTTTATTAAGAAGATTTTTTCAACTAGAATTTAAGCATTGTAAGGTGTGAACACGCATATAAACTGCATGGACATTTCAGCTGCCACTCATGGGCTATGCAGTATGAACCCATTAGGTTTGGGGTCTTTCTTGGCTGGGGAAGTGAGGCAGGGAGGTAACCCTCTGGTAAAGGGGCCTTGCACTAATGGAGGAGGAATATTTAAAGATATTCCCTAGAAACCAGTGTGTGGGAAAAATGAGGCAATTAAGAGGAATCACTAGATACCCTGTCTTAACAGTTTATTATATATATTTTTAATGAGTATTTAAT